TCACCGGTGGTGATTGTCACCACCTAAGGAATTAAATTTGCGTGGGGCGGAGTTAGGGTTGGGTTAATCATAAATTGTATAATTCCTTAGGTGGTGACAATCACCACCGGTGAGAAATAGCAATTCCCATTTAGTTATTATAATAATAATAAAAAATACATATTAATATAATAATTACTTACTATGATCGTGATCTTCATTATCTTTACTATATAAAATTATATGTTTGTCGTCAGAAACACCTTTTATAAAAATGCCAATGGAATTATAAACCCCCCCAAAATCATCCACGGAATATTTAAAATAATGATAATCATCTTTCTGGATTGTCCCATCGTCAAAATCAAGTATCCATCCAATAATCGATGAATCGCCTCTACTATGAGTTACTAAAAATTTCAAATTAGGACTATACTTTATTTCATCAATAAGGCATCCCTTATGTGGAATAGATATATCCGATTCTTCAATTTTATCAGCATTAATAACAATCTTAATAGGTTCAATATTATCATTGAAATTATTCTCTGTCATTTGTTATTATAAATAAAAAGTTGAAAGACGTTTTTGTAGAAGGGGTTTTTTAAAACAGAATTTTCAATAATAGAAAGATTTTTCGACGCACTTTTTATATAAAAAATATCGAATTATTATTTAAAAAAAATGGAAATTTATTATTATTTGTCTATTCGTTTATCTATGTATTTCCTGCATTTTTTTCATTGTATCTCTTTATATGGTATTAGTATCCCATAAACCGTGTGTATTTGCAACAAATATGTTGCTAATAATAATAACTTGTAATATCAACTAATTCAGACATTTCTGAAAGGCAAGTCCTTTATCCATTATGTTAAATGGATAGAGGATCCGTCTTTGTATGGATATTCACGCAAATATTGGTACAGAACATGCGATTTTTCCTAATTGGAAAAAATGATTGCTGAGATTATGCATTATCCGAGAAAATAAATGAGGGAACCAAATTTAATTCCTTGTTTTTCTTCTTTCTTTGCATTTGTATTATTATTAATATTTATCTTATTTAAAAATACTAAAAATGGGTTCTCTAATGGGGTGTTACATATCAGCATAAACACAAACATAGTTGAGCGCACATATAAAAAATCATATGTGAGGATTTTTTATTGGGAAAATCCAGATCAATTTAACAATAACAAAAATAAAATATATTTAATATGTTTTATGGAGTGCAAGCAATTCTACCAAACATCTACAAGAATTGGGTCTCAGAGTAAACTTAAAACTCCAAATACTTTTGTAATTTATTAATGCTGCTTGTTTTTTTGTTCAAATAATATTTTATTATCTCATTACATAAAAAGCTAAAGTCTGATGTGAAAAATTAAAATTAATCTATATGATAATTTCCGAGTATATATTAATATATTCTGATAAATAAAAAAATAAATGAATGTGTGCATTATGCTCTCAAGTGATCAAAAAAGATCAGCATGTAAGAATATTATGTATTAATAATCAAATAAACAAATGTGAAAAACTAAGTGAAAAAAACCTTTTGTTACAAAAAATTGGAGTCATTTATCTATTAATGATTATTTATAAATATATATGATGATTATCCTTTGGTTTTTCCTTCCACACAATGCCTCTTAGTTGCAGGTTCATCATTAACAGACACCCTATCCTTTAGCAACCCAACGATTGCTTCCATAACTTCTTTTACTCCTTGACAAAGTCTAGTATCATCATCCAGGGATGCTTCAGTTAATGAGATATGATATTCAGATTTACTTGTGCACCAGATACCTTTGCTAGTGTATAATATGAAGTACCAATCTGATCCTGTAGACACAATGCCATAGAGGTAGTCATAATATGAATTCCCAAAGGCTTCATCCAATTTTCATTTTCTTTTGTTTGTCTATGAAGTAAAGTATCACAAATCCAATATAGTTAATCATAAGTAACATTACATGTTCAAAAATTATAAAAAAATATGATATTTGCTCTCTAACTTGAGGCTCATACTTGCTGTGCACCCATGCATTGCATTAAATTCTGAGCAAATCCGGTAGATACTTGATACTGCTTACCCTCAGTTATACAGACTAGTTCCTCCAGGATATTTGTGTCATCCAGAATTTTTTTAATTGCATAGTCAACATGACCAGTATTTTCTTCACCAATCACTTCAAACTGAGGACTTATGGTAATCTTTCTTTTGGTAATGCTCTTGACTATATGAATAGCAGAATGTAAGATAGATGAGATATACTCACAACGCATTGCCTCATTATTATCAACTACTGTTTCCATATTCCCAGGTGATGTTTTATTTCTTTTGTGCAATGGAGAAATTCTGCATCATTATCATCAAGTTTATGGATGTCTTATAAAATCACAAAATTAGAAATGGTCAGGAAAAAAAAAACAACAATGCATAAAAACAAGATCATATTTTATATACCTGGTTTGAATTGGGGTATGTCTGCTATATTTTTACTATCAATTCCATGCTTCTTTAATACCTCATGCAGATTTTTCAGAGTTCTATATGATGAGTATGGCTTCAATTTTTTCTCTTTGACTTCTTTGACGAAGTCTGCAAGTCTTGATGCAGGTCCACCCTTCATGCCATAAATACAAAGCTTTTCTTCAGTAAACTGAAGAAAATCATGACCAGTGATCTTTTCATTGCGAATAATCTCCAAGTCATCATTGTCAAGCTTCAGGTCCTCTTGCTTGTGCAAAAATTTAATAAGTTCATTTGTATCATATTTTCGAACTACGTCTGATTGTGTGAAAGTGGAGGACATGATTTATACAATATGCAATAAAGTTTCTGGATTGTTTATAAGTGGAAAAAATAAAAAAAATTTTTTGGTATGTGAAAAATTCTAGGGTTTGTATTCATGAATATCATAAGGGGGTCACACAGGATCACACACTATTAAAATCAAGTGATCAACTCATGTTTTTAAGGGATTTTTTGCTGGTTTAATAGTGTGTAACCCCCTTAATGATATTCATGAATAAAAACCCTAAAAAATTCCTGTCCACAAACTTTTATAGACATGTGATGTGTGACAATCTGATTGTTGTAATAAACCACATTCATACATTTGTGAAAAAATTTCCAGAAATCCATTATTCTATGTAGACTTTTGAAAATACCAACAACCATTTAAAAGGGCAGTATAGAGAAATTATCACTTTTAGTGATTCCAGTTTTATTGCATTTTTCTAATAAAATTATTTTTTATACAAATCGTCAATAGTATTTCTGGAATTTTATGATACACAGAGAGAATTCTTAGCAAAAGTGATCAGTGTGAATAGAGATGTTCCAATGCGCACACAATTTTTGAAATCATGCACATGTTATTTTTTTGTACATAGTGTCACCGGAATGCGAATTGGACCTTAATTCGCTGATCAATAACCCTGAAAATCCGGAGTAATATTTTATATCTTATCCTTATATTATTTGTATCATTTATTTATTTATTTATTATTTTTAGTTATTCATTATTTATTTTTGGTTATTTATTTTATCTGTT